CTGCAGCAGCGCAGACCCAGAGCAACAGGTTGCCAGGTGTTTCCCATCATTAATGATGAAATTGTCAGAAATGCCACTTGGAGCATCTTGTGTGGATGAAACAAACTCAGCCCACTCGCACGCATACAATCAAACGCAGCTGAAGGTTTTATGTGCATGTAGCGAAACCCGGCTGCAACTTGTGATATACGTATCGCCACATCCGGACTCCCATAAGGACATCGTTGTTTATGCTTGGAGCTCTATCTTTACGTCACAGGTCAACATTTGTTGAATGATGCAGTAAAGCGTTTTTTTTTTTTTTTTACAACCTTTTTCTCTGTCTATACTTTATCAGCACAGAGATTATTACTAAACAATGACTTGTAAACCAAGGCAGCGGCTCCCGAGCCTTTATATGGTCGGCTCCACTCAGAGGACATGCAAAGCAGTTTTCGTCCTTCTGCCTTTGTCTTGGATTCCTTCCAGCACCAACAAAATACACTTTGCTACTATATTTACTTGGAAGTGCAAACATATTTGAAATGTCTTGCTTTTGTGTGTCGTTGGCTGGAGCACACCCACAGTTCCCCAAAGGGGAGGGGGGTTTAGCTCGGGACCAATTTGTGGTCTGAGCGCTGGATCAGTTCCACGTCTTTGTCCTGCTGTTAGATAATAAGAACCTGGCTGACATGGGTAGCAATTCCTGAAATCACAGCAGGATCGGATGGATAAGAAGAAAAAAAAAGCAGAAATGAAATTCCTTTTTTTTTTACTCACACTAATCCTCATGCTTAGGACTTTGTATGAAGCTCAAATATTTGTAAACACGCAGCTTTTTTTTAAAAGTAATATTCCCCAAGTCTTCAAACGGTTTCTTATTTGACTTCAAATAATATGATCGGATGTGAAAATTGGACCACACAGTATTGAGTTTCTCTCTTGATTTGTGTTTCTCGTTATTCCTGTGTTTACTTACAGCTTTTTACTTAGTAATTATTAGTTTTATTCTGTTTTTATCAGTATCTTCTGATGTATTATTTGCCAGTCATACTCGATTTATTTGTGTAGCTCAGGGTCTCTATCCAACATGCATCAGTTAATCAGATTTGGCTCTTCGTCCCTGTCGTCGACCACCTCTGCATTTTTATTCAGGCATTCACTGTTGGACTGTTGAATTTCCCTCCAAGGTCTCAGCCAGTTTGTGGCTTGTGTCTGGGTTGTTCAAAACAATCACACATGACAGATATCATCTAATTTGCTTAAAAAAAACAAACACTTAAAATGGGTAAATTTCAAATAGTAAAAGTTTAAAAGTATTTATTTTTTTATTTGAATTTTAAAGCTGTAAAGGCCACAAGAGTTACATTAACTGAATATGTAGTTTTCACTAATGCAGCAGGTCATATTCCATATTTCAGTTCAAATTATGGGTCCCACATAAAAGAAATTCAAGGAAAACGAGCCCTAAGAAGAAAACAAAAACAAGCTTTCAACGTATTGTTCTTCTGAAACTAAAGGAAAAAATAAAATAAAGGGTAGCGTCATGTCGGGTCACAAGGTCTGCAAGTTCATCCTTTCATGACGGAGATCCAGTCGCTCCAAGAAATCAGTGGTGACGGCGTTTGACTGAAAAGAGCTCTGAAAGACGGCTAAAGGGATACCCAAACGTGAAAGAGATTTCAGAACCCCGAGCTGCGGTTTCTCTCAAATATTAGAGATGTGAAAGAATCAAGTTTTCGGCAAATAATTTGGAGTTATGTTCCACAGAAAACTGAGTAGGCGAATCTGCAAATAGGTGAGGTTCCACTATGTTTGGCATGTGCCAAACCTTTTCTGACTTTTACAGTGATGGAGCCCTTATTGTCACTTCTACATAGAAGCCGTACTGTGGCTCACAGACTAACATTTTTCCGGTCACCTGGTCTGTCATCCTCCAGAGTTACCACAGGCCTCTTGGCCGCTTCTTCATCCGTGGCCATGTGTTAGAGAGCTCTGTGAGACGTTCAAGATGTTTGAAACTCGGCTTTATTGCTTCAAGCTTCTCTTGGTTTGCTCTTGGGTCTTTGGGGTGGCATGCATAAAAATACCCTGTTATCTAAATTTTGTACATTTAGATTTGTAGTTGGCGGTTTGTGGTTGTGACTAAGCCAAATCCGAAACACCTGCATTCACCTACAACATATAAACACTATATAATATATATTCTGCAGATATAAGAGTCAAACTATTATATCTGCATAATATTTAGTATGTAACTCTACATAGTCGATAGCAATAGATTTAAGTATAAACAATGAAATGTGTCTTCAGTTAGACTCAAAGCTAAAAACAAAAAACAAAAAACTCTTACTGCTGCTTGCATGTGGGAGTTGGTGATTAAACTCTGACTTATCAGCAGTGAAGCTGCATGTTGTGCGCAAGATAAGCTCAAAGAGGTTACCAAAACCCAGAGAGAAACTGCGACGACTAATGTGTTCAGCATTTAACTTGGATCTCCGTTTCACCTCGTTTTACTCAAGACGAAAAGTCGAAAGAGTTCAGTTCAAACCTCAGAGCAGCGTGCGTGTAAATCTGGGATTTCTCTTGGATGCGAGTGGAAATTTCTGCAAAACGGCAGAGTGAGTGAATGCTGCGGGTCAGGTCATCCAAACATTCTGGGTACATGTGTAATGATGTTCCTGGACAATTGCCAGCGCAAGTGCAACACGACAAAAGACCCAACGGTTAAAAGCAGTAATAAGAAGCACGACGCGGGAGGCCACGCACGGCCCTCTGATATTTTTTCCATTTAAAGCAAAGTCTCAGAATGTAATTTGTTGCATCTGTTTGAGTGATGAGCATAGGATTCAAACATTTGAGTTTGATGATACAATTTGCTCTTGCGTCATCAGTCGTATGGAGTTTTGAGAAAGCTCATTGTTGAGCACAGATGAGGGCCAGAGCCCGTGGTGTCTGCGTTCATCAAAGGTCAGAAATCTGGAAATCATCAATCCTTCCCTTTGTGAGATTAGCAAAATCCTGCTCCGACAAACACGATTTCAAACAAGCGTGGAGAATGCTAAGCCTGAATACCTGCTTGTAATTCATGTTCCTGCATGATGGTTGTGCAACTAAAAAAAAAAACACAAGCAAAAAGCATTCTCAACCTCACACTCTGCAGCATTTCAGCTGACTTATTGTATTTTTTTTTTCTGGTAAATCAACACTGCAGCACATGTAAGATAACAGAAGATGCATGAGTATATGTGCCTATTTTTGTTGAGTGTCAAAGATAGTAGCTGTTGATAAGGTATCTGAACTTATGAACTTTATTCAATGCCTTTTAAAGAGGCGGTGTTATGTATTTTATATCAACTAACAATGTCACTTTAAGTTGTCACAAAAAATCTGCTCATGTCAAAAATGACTTGAAAGAACTTTGTAGTTTAATACCTTGAAATTGGGCCTCTGTCTCTTTAAGAAACTCCACCTTCAGGAAGTCATCACAACGTCGCTCCTATGTTAAGCCTTTAACAACATTTTTACCAGGGTTATGCAAACAAGCAGATGCACTGTTACACCAGGTGTTTTGCTAATTGCTGCTGGCTAGTCTGTAGGAGCATCTAACAGTTGCAGGACAGCAGCTTTCAATGTCTGTTCTTGGTCATGCCTCAGCTCAACTATTTGTCTTATGCTTAGTATTTTCAAAGTGTGCATCGTACGAAAGAAAATGGACCCAATATAATTCATCTATCTTTGACCATCAAAGACAATTATTAGGTGAGGTGCACCTGGACAGATTGGCAGCCAGCCTCAGGACAACACAGAGACACAGTCACACCATAGAACAATTTAGAGAGATTAATTAACCAAAATGGAAGCCATGGTACCTGGAAAGAACCCAGACACTCTGACCAGAGTTTGCATTATGCGAACTCCGGTCAGAAACACCCCAGGCTGGGATCTGAACCTCGTACCTTCATGTTGCGACATCAAGAGTGCTACAAATTGCACCACTATTCCCATCTAAAATAATAATAATAAAAAAAACATTTTCAAAACGCAGTTAAACCTCAATATGGCTCAGTCTTTTCTGATGCATTCAGTCACAATTTTATTTCACATTAAACTACATTTAGAGGCTTTTGGTTGAACTCAAAAACATTTTTGGTTCAATCTCAAAAACTCTGTGCTTGCTTGTTTAATACAAAGGCACAATTCATAACCGATCGGTATTTGAATATGTGTGTGAATCTTTGCATAGTCCTTTTTATAGACTTGTCAGCATGGAGTGCACATTTCTGGTGACTCCAAAATGTTTTTTACTGGCAAAGCATTGCATGAGAGTTAGCCCTGAGGCACCTACACCCTGCAGACCGTCACTACGGAGTCCTATTAATAATGCCCGGTGTCATTTCATTGGTTGCGGCTGAAACCTTTTCAGAGGTAATTTCTAAATTAAAAAAAAAAGTTGAACACTGTGCCAAACACACAGTCACTCAACAACATTCCAAGGTGTTGTCGCGCCAAGAAGTCTGAGAAAACTCAACTGTCGCTGAATCATAAATACTGTAGATCCAGTCATTTTCTAATTTGACCTTCCAGGTAAACCTGCTGTAAATCTACCACGATCGTACAAACAGTCCTATAAAGAGGGTCACCTGTTTTTAATGGGATCCAAACTAACAAACAAAGAGAGTATAAAATCTCTCCTGGGTCCTGGAGTGTACCACACAACTGAATATTTTGACACCACTGTAAACATAGCATTCGTTCTGGAACATATTTGCAACGTCTTTACATATGTAAATTTTTACCCTTTGACCGTGTTGCTGATTTATTTCTTTCGCTCTCTTGCTCTCTCTCTCTCTCTTTTGCAGCCCTGCAACTCCAACCGCAGGGACAGTGTGTTCAAACTCCTGAGAGCTCTCAGCACTCTGCACAGCCCGGCCGCCTGATTGGCTGAGCGCCGACCATGATGTCATCACAGCGTGCTATAAGGGCTCTGACAAACAGCCTGGGAGACACATTAGAGGAAACACTGCTCAACTGACGGAGTCAGGAGTGAGACAGGCTAAGATTAAAAAAGTGGAGCGGGCATGTGACGCTCTGCAGGAGTTATCCGCGCTCTGGCATCTGTACAGTGCAAGGCAAGCAGGACTCACAACTACCTGTTGAGGTTCGTAGTGTGTGTGTGTGTTTTTTTATGTTTTCTTGCTACATGTTTCTGAAGCTTCTTGGAGCAGATGTTGATATTTATGTTCTGTAAGTCTGCAGCTTAGCCACTGAAATATTCTTTTCTTTTTGTTGTTAGTAATAGTTGTAACATTACACATTCAAACCCTTAGTACAGAAAGTTTTGTTTTCTTTTCAGCTCAAGTAATTTTTATCTTTTTCTCATGCTTGTGTGTCTGTTTTTGTGGTGTGTGTGTGTGTGTGTGTGTGTGTGTGTGTGTGTGTGTGTGTGTGTGCCTGTCCACCTGTGGTCTCTCCAGATGGAAAATTCAACGTTCTCTAGCACATTAAATGCCTCCACAACAGCAATCCCACCAGGCGAGATTGAGAAGGAACTCAAGATCTTCCTGGGAATAATCCTGTCTCTACTTGTTCTGCTAATTGTTTTTGGAAACATCCTCGTCATAACCGCCATTGCCCGCTTCCAGCGACTGCAGAACGTGACCAACTGCTTCATCACGTCCCTGGCCTGTGCTGACCTGGTCATGGGTCTTATTGTTGTTCCTTTTGGTGCCTGTAACATCATTTTTAAGAAATGGCACTTTGGTGTATTTTGGTGCAAATTCTGGACTGCCACTGATATCCTCTGTGTGACGGCCAGCATCGAGACACTGTGTGTCATAGCCCTAGACCGATATGTGGCCATTACTTCACCCTTTCGTTACCAGTCAATGTTGACAAAGTGCAGAGCTCGAGTTTTGATTGTTATTGTTTGGGCGATTGCTGCGTTGATATCCTACGTTCCCATCCACACGGGGTTGGCATATTCAAACAAGACTGGTACAGATGTGAAATGCAAACTTAATGATCCTGACTGTTGCGAGTTTCATGTCAAGCCTGAATATGCCATCGGCTCCTCCGTCATCTCGTTCTACATCCCTTTGTTCATCATGATTTTTGTGTACAGCCGTGTTTTCCAGGAAGCCAGGCGACAGCTGAAAAAGATTGACCAAAGCGTTGGACGCTTTCATAACACCGACAGCAGCGACTTGAAGTCCCTAGAATCTAACAATGGATGGGGGCTAAAAAAGGCCAAGTTTTGCCTTCGAGAACATAAAGCCTTAAAGACTCTGGGCATAATCATGGGGGTGTTCACCCTTTGTTGGCTACCATTCTTTTTGCTCAATGTGGTGGTGACCATGACAGAAAGGAACCTCGAAATCCCTTTTAAAGTACTCAACTGGATCGGTTTCTCAAACTCTGCCTTCAATCCAATGATTTACTGCAGGAGTCCTGAGTTCAGGCACGCTTTCCAGGACATCCTCTGCATGAAGAGGAACCACCTCAGCAACCCGGGACCGGTCAATGGATATGTCCACAGCCGCAACAGCTGGCAGAGTGAGCGACAGGGACGCAGTAAGGGCAGCTCAGATGATGGCGACCCCACTGAAAGGTGTCTGGGGAAGGTGTCGGAGGTCTGCGAAGGAGAGGACAAAACCACGGACTCTAATGGAAACTGCAACAAAAGCCTGCCGACTGTGACAACAAGCCTGTAGACTTGGAGCTGTGAGAGTTCAGCCGGATGATTGTCACAGCCTTCATGAACTTTCTTTTTTTCCTCAATGGTCTGTTGAAGGTAAGGCCAGCCAAGGTGGCCTGCTGACTGCAATGATCCCTTTGAGCTGAGGAACGTATTTATTTTTCCCATCATTTCCACGTTTGATACTGTAGGAGGATTTTATTTTTATTTTTTATTTTTTATTACATAGAGATTTCTTTAAGCTACCTCAGACCTGCTTTACAATATTTTCGTGTTAACTGTCTTTGACATTGCACCCGCTTTAGTTAAACTATTGTGGTATCTCAGATGTTTTTTGTTTTGTTTTGTTTTTTTAACCATGTAATATGCTTTATGAAAGTCATAATTACAGATCGTCGTTTTCACATTTTCTGCTTTAAGCTCCTAGGGAATGATGACTTTCTTTCTAAATCAAGTCAGTTTCATTTTGAGCATGCCTGCTTGGCAGAAAAACACACACACACACACACACACACACACACACACACACACACACACACACACAAAAACAAAACAAGGAACATATCTCTGTCAACGATTTGCAGGCTGATGGGCTGCACCGCATTGGTGTCAAGAGTACATTCCGATTTGCTGAGATAAGCAATCTACCATGTTTCTGTCCTTACTTGCTTCTGACTGGTAGCGTTTGAGACCGGCACCATGTGAAAACCGTAGACACACGTCAACGGCACTTGACGTGCCGTTGCATTAGAGTCTGCTGTAAGCAGAACGCTTCAGAGATATGCTCTGGCGCTCGGAGATTCGGATCTTCCTGTTTAGGGGAACAACGCCTGCAGTTAACGCTCTGCGAATGCTGTGATAAAACTTGAAAGCGCACGGTTGAGTTTTGAAATCCTAAAGATATCTGATATCTCTTTAGGCAGAGAGTAGGTGGTATTATCGCAGTACTTTGAAAGGCTGCCCTCAAATGCATATAGATTTTTAAAATTCAGCAATTTAAATATATATATATAGATATTTTATTTATTTTTTTATATCTGATTTCAAAGTTTGCTTCTGGACGGTCTAAAATGACACTGTTCATCCTCTCAGCTGGCTTCAGTGTACAGCACACCTTGGCACAAAAAGTCATGAAAACTATTAGCACTTTCTATCCTCTCTGTGAAACAGAAACTCTGTTCCTTTGTTGAAATAAGCCCTTGTCATTTTTTCTTTGAAATTAGTGGTTGCTGTGTTTCGGTATATGCAGTGTTTATTGCAGCCAGAGAGGCCATTTCCTCGTCGTGCAAGGGTACAAACCACACATGATAATAATGATAAACAGGGTGGCAACAGTTTCAGGGCCGAGACACAGTGCTAGTTGCTGTATTCAAATAATCATAGGATTTAAAAAAAAAAACAAAAAAACAGCCCTTGCACCTAAATAGCGCATCTTTGCCTCAGCCTTGTGACATTTCCCAGATTGTTCTCGGTGTGTGAGGATGTGTGTTCCCGTCTGAAATCGACGGAACGGTTGGAAAAGGCGTTCAGGGCTCCACAGAGCCGCGTCGCCTCAGCTGCTCCGGTTGTTTCGGTCAGTTTCTGTCAATCTTCTCCCAACGGGTCTAGATGTGCAGCCACCAGGAAATGCCCCGATCCAGCTGAGCCCTGCCCCAGTAAACATGAATAAACACATTATCTTTGTTTGCTTAGTTTGACAATTTGATGATTCTGCAGCCCCCCCCCCACCCCCCACCATCCTCTCAGATGAAAGAAAAACCTGCTGGGGTTTCTAGCAGCATGTATTATTTGACATGTCCTCAAATAATACATGTCTTAAGACTGCTTTCTTATGTGTTTTCTCTTGACTTATGTTAAGTTTAATGGACATTAAGCACTTAGAGAAAAGGATCTCAATTTATGAATTTGTCCTCTTTCCTTCAGATTAAATCGCTTCACAGATCATTAGGCTGGACAGAGATAGCAGAGGTCTATCTTAAATCTTTTTCCCCAGGTCAGTTAGGCTAAAGTTAGCTTCTGAGGATGGGGAAGAGGAGCCGGGATTCTCAGCCAGTCTAAATCAGTGCTAGCGGCCGATCTTTTAGTGCATGTAGTCTCGCCTCTGTGTGGAGTCGGATCAGCTGACACTGTCAAAAACATTGAACTTTGTTCCTTCAGAGGAAATCTTTATGTACTGTATCGTAAGTATCGGTTGTCACCGATCCCTGGTCGAAGACGTAACTAATGCAGTCGTTTGTACGTCAGCGTGTGCCATGTGACAAACAAGCTTTCCAGAACGTGGATCCTTTTTCTTGGTCTTCTTTTTTTTTTCTTTTTTTTTTTTCTGTGCAGATTTACAGCTAAGTAAATGCAGGGGGTTGAATGTCAGAACACAGGTTCTTGAGGAAAACTTTCCCAACATTTTCACTGTAAGGCATGCTGAAACCACAAATCTGCTCAAAGTATTAGACCAAGTCTTAAAGATGATTCTTTTTGTTGTTGTTTTTTTAAGTCTCGACAGTTTGATCCTGGGCTTGGCACTAAGCTATTAGAGAGTCCTGCTTTCTTATTGTCTTAGATACATGCCATTTTTGGAAGCACTGTGCAAGTGATTGTTTGCATGTCTTGTTATAAATTTGTGGTGTCATATTTGTGGATTCCTGCTGGCTCGCTTTGCAAACGAACCTGTTTCAGTCCGAGCTCTGTGGACTTTCAGCTCAAATTCCACACTGCTCCCTCCTGGCAATGGCCTATCTTTGCACCTCAGCCGTTTCTCACTTATAAATGGTTACTGTTTTCTATCGATACTCCCGTATTATAAGGAATGTAATTCATGCCTTCGCATCCTCGTCGGTGCTTGAGGATGTGACACTGTTATGTGCAATGAGTCTTGAATAATGAGCTGACACTACAACATTCCGGCACAGCTGCTGTTTTATATCCCCCCCCCACCCACCACCACCACCACCAGTGACCTGTCTCCGATTACCCACTGATGCACCTACAGCGGCTCGGCTAAGACAAAAAGATTCTGTTTTGAAAGAATTACGGGTCACAGGTCAGACCAGTCTAACAGTTTGTATTACCACTTGGCCTCAGGAGTTAATATCCAGCATATTTCAGTGTAATGGACGACGGTGTGTATGATAGATTGACATGTTAATGTGGTCCAAGTTCAGGTGGGGTAACTCAAATGTTACCCTCAAGGAATCACGTTTATTTTCAATGAATAAGTCCCTTTGTTCAACAACAACTCCTATTATGTTTTAATAAAGGTCATTTTCCAGCCTAAAGTGGCACTGTATAGCACTTTTAAATATGTTAAAACATATTTCAGGTCACAAAAAAACAAACAAACAAACAAACAAAAAACAAGTGTTCCCATTGGCATGTACTATAATGTTTCTACTTTTGAATAAAATGTAAAAAAAAAAAAAAAAGAAAAGAAAAAGTCACTAGAGTAATTATAGGAATGTGAATTTCCTATATAAAAAAAACTTGTATAAAAGAGAAAACCTGTTATATGTGAACTTTTTTTATTATTATTATTTTTTTAAAGTGGTCAGAGTGAGAATATAGTCACTCGGTGGAATGTTTACTAAATGTTTGCAAGCTATTTTCGCACAATTTTCTTGTCATTGTTGTTCAGGTCTTGGAGCTTGTTACATTATGTGGTTCCCTGTGGTATTTATTTAAAAAGAAAGTGTAAGTTTGTGACGTAAAATTTTTATTGAAATAAATTATGTACATGTTTCATGTGATGTTATGTGATGTGTGTGTTTTTTTGTTTTTTTTTTTACTAACGATTATATTCTTTAGTAAAAAATATTTTTTTTGCTCTTTGGGTTTCACGCAGCACTTTCAGTCCCTTGTGAAACGTCTTCAGATCCCATTGAATCTTCTCACTCTATCGTGCTACATCCATAAATTTCAACGTTTCAATGACAGACCTACACATATAATCCTGGAGTGGGACAACAATGCAAAATATTTCCTAAAATGTGTGCTGTGCAGCAGTGATATCAGATGCGACTAAATGCATTTGAGAGTCACTTTGTTTGTTTGCATCTAATTTAATTTCAGCATTAATGCAGCTGTTCTGTTAAGGCCTGAGAGATTGCAGGTCCTCTGGGCTATGTCTCGAGTTTTGCCACAGAGTCTCAGTTGGGTTTGTTTCTGAACTTTTACTTTGCAATCCCAACTCTCGTAAATATGCTTTAATCTAATCCACTGTTTTTGTAGCTCTGGTGGTAAATTTAAGCTTGCGGTTTTGCAGTGGACTTCCAAGATAGTCTCAACTCTATTTTTGTAGCTCTGAAGAGTTGGCTCCACCAACCAGTCTTAGTACTGCTTGACTTATTGCTTGTTTACTGATGCTCTCTCACAAACTCATGAGACCTTCATGGACACACAGGTGCACAATTTATTTCATCAGTTGGCTTTTAAAAGCGAATAGTTGCACTGGACTTTATTTAGGAATATCAGAGTAAAGTGGTTTTGAAGATAAATGCAAGGCTCCCTTTTCGGATTTTTGCTTGTAAAACGAAAAAAAAGGACAAATTGAATCATGTATCGTTTCTTCTTCCGCTCCAGAAGTATCCTGTGATCTGTATCTGTGTTGATCTGCCTCATAAAAACAGCAAAAATCTGTTGATGTTTATGATTGTTGTGTGACCAAATCTTAGGAGGTTTGAGTTAATTACTTTAGCAAGACAATGTCAGCAGCCACATTTTACGGTAACACTTTATTTTGCAAATAATCACACTTTAATACAAAGTTGGCACTTTTAACAGACTTTAAATGCAAACTTTTAAAGCAACTTTGCAATGAAAGTGTCATTATTTACCGAATGACACAACAGTTGTACACATTCATAAAGACTCCTTCATGTTCACAACAGGTGTTATATAAATGACAGTCCCATGTCAGCCTTATGCACACCCAGTCATATAAAGTGTTACCCATTTTACTAAGCCAGTAATTTGTGTCAAATGATTCAGAGAAGATATAAAGTTAAAGCAAGAGTACGTGACTGCCCTTTGCTCTAAAGCGATCGTAGATCGTACAGAAGTCCTGGATCTAATCAAAATGAGCTGCACAGTGAAACTAGTAGCTTCTTAGATAGAAGATGGAGAGAGAGAAGTCTCAGAATGTGGCACAAAGTCATTGTTGAAAATGTGTTTTAGTTTTCCTCTATGAGTAATCGTGAGTGAACGTAAGAAAAAAAAAAAAACAGGATCCTAAGTGGTTGTCGTGACTCCAAATGACGTTTGATGCAAGGCTGTACACTGAATTGGACCCTGTGGAGTTGTGTGCTAAACACCATATAATTTATGACTGATAGATTTTTTTATATATACGGTCAACAGAACACGCTGATAGTCATCCCCCTACTTTATATGAATGAGCTTGTAACAACATTCAAGGTGATAAAAAAAAAAAAATCGGCCTTATCAAGTCACCTACTGTACAGCACAATCTGTTTTATTGCAACTCTTCCCCGTCAGTCACGCCTGGTGGCTCATTTTCTCAGCAGTACAAAG